CTCTCTCTCTCTCTCTCTCTCTCTCTCTCTCTCTCTCTCTCTCTCTCTCTCTCTCTCTCTCTCTCTCTCTCTCTCTCTCTCTCTCTCTCTCTCTCTCTCTCTCTCCTCCTCTCTCTCTCTCTCTCACTCTCTCTTTCGTCACGTATCCTCGTTTTCATTACGTCGACGCGTATCACGTCGTTGGGTCGGCCGCGCGATGTCTCGCGGCCTCGAGAGAGAGCCGAGAGCAGCAGTCTATCTCGCGGAACGCGCGACTCCTCCGCAGTGTCGCCGCGCGATATCGGACTCTCGCGCATTCAACGGCGCGAAGTTAGACCCAACATCGTGATTATTCAGCGGGGAAAAAGAAGCACTGCCTCCGGACTTGACGGACGTTCGTGTTCCGGCACACGCGCGGCGCGTGTATAATAAGCTAGACACTTCCCCGCGGCGTCTTCGAGCAAGGCGATCTAGATCGCTCCCGAAGTAAGTTACTCCAACTTCGACGAACTCCCAACTTCTGAAATCTGCACGTACATACATAGGTACATACATATCTAACGCGGAACGATAATAACGCTTAATAATTTACAGAGCTGGATATTTTTTTGACGCGTCGTAAGAGACGAAACTTTTTTCTCTTATCGTGATTTTAAGTCAAGTACTTTGGCGTTAATTTAACGCCAAAGTTTTAATGATTCGTATGAAAATGTAACGATAATCAGTTATTATGCGATTCCTAAAGATAACACAAACGAAAAAAAATTTCCTTTGCCAGACCTTTGATAAAACCACACTTGTCTTGGATATCGCGTTTTTATTAGGGTTTAATTTTTGAAATATTCGCCGAAGTTATCGGGCGGTATTCTGAAGTTTACCCGGAAGCTACTCTACGGTTTGAAATTTGTCCGTTAATTATTCGCGATTTGGGGGAACTTTCGTGGAGGAAGACGTGCAAATGCGCAACAGACGCTACTCCCGTGAACATATAAGGAAAACGCGATTCGTGCCTTAATAACGCGCGTGTGTACGTGCGCACACGAGGCACCGATCGACGCGGGAGCTTAACTTGACATATAAATAGCGCGTTTAAAGAGAGCCGGCTAGAAACTCTCCCGCGTGTACGTCTTGCGAACCCGTCAGGAAGGCGCGAGTCGCTTTCCGAGGAGGACGCGGATCCGGTGATCGGACTCACTCGACGTGTGCTCGAAGACGACGCAGAGATCTCGCGACAAAGGAAGATCTCCTCTCGGAGTGCGTGCGGAATTCGTTAGTCGCGTTTTTTTTTTTTTTCGCCAACTTCGCTACTTCGACTCGCGACGTGAGTGAGTAAATAATGTGAAACAAACTTGAAAAAAAAGTTATTATATCAGATTTTAATCAGCTCTCCTATGCTCTCCTATTTAGAAAGCTCATTACTAAATATTCGTACATGTATTTAAAGTTTTTCCACTCTTAATTATTATTAAAGTATCATCTCAGTTGGTTTATTAAAAAAATCTCTTTATGTTAATTTCGTTTCATACTTGTCTCTTGCAAACATGATAATATTAATAACGTTGATATAAAGATATTTTTAATAAATCAAATAATTAAATTTAACTGATATGATGCTCTAATGATACTTAAGAGAGGATAAAATTTTAAATATATGTATGAATATTTAGTATTAAACTTTGTGAATTGGAGAACGACTAATTCAAATCTAAAATAATTTTTCTTCTGCCGGTATTGATGAAGTTAATATATTCCGTTAGATTATGCAGAACTAGATTATTAAATTTAAAATCATATTTTAATTTTGATTTAGGAAGATTTGGAATCTCGAGTAATAATCAATGGAAATAAAATTTATTCGATGAATTATTTGCGGATAATTGAGTTGGGATCGAGAACTGCGAGCTATACGTGAATTTCAGTTTCTCTCTCGAGATTAATTTCCATCGTTTCGTACGTTTGACAGAAAGTTCGACGGATCTTCGAGGAGCAGGCCAGGTGGCAAGAAAGCTCACGCAGACACGTAAAATGCACATCATCGGATACTACCTATTGCGTGATTAACAACTACAACATCGTCGCTTCTAGAAGCGAACTTGCTCGAAATAACCGTGCCGCGAGTGAAACGACGACCAGCGTCACCAGCAAAAGACGAACGCCGTCGACTGTAAACGGGAGAATTCATTCCAAAGAGGAAACTACTCGGAACGGCATTCCCGTCGCAGAGGACTCGAGAAGATCGAAGGGCGTGTCGAAGGATTCGGCAAGACCAGGTATCTCAAGAGGCATCCAGCGAGGTATAATCAAGTCCGCTTCCGTACCGAAAGATTTGAAAGAAGGTGCGTCGCATAATTTCTAAACGTTAAAATTCTAAACGTTAATAATTTCTAAAACGTTTCAACATAATTGTACCTCATCTATTTTTTAATATCCTTTACATTTTCTATCGAAATATGATTGTTACTTTTTTACTTCAGAAACTTCAGCTTAACTTCAATTGAATTGACGAATGTCGATACTTTTAACAATTACGCCATCCATTTTTGCATGATTATTTTTTTATGTTAATTTTTCTTATGTTTTTGTAAACTTATGATTAGATCCTTTTACTTGTGTAACGTTCTTGGGTAACGTTAGTTTTTTTTTATTCAATTTGAAAAGAGAGATTATCGTGACCTGCTGTTTACCACTCTAAATATGCGCCGAAACTTGCGACAAAATTATTTTCGACGGAAAAGTTAATTTCCTGTATCTATCTATATCTAATGACCACTTGGCTGTTGAAATGACGTTGCTGACGTGCATGCCGTGATGGCTTATATTTTCGCCCTATTCGTCCCACAGATTATCACTGACGGAACAACAATATCTAACGAAAATCGTGCATCCCTTAACTTGTAGGGAATTAGAATTGCAAATGAAACCATGAGTTAAACAGGATCCATTCTACAACAGTCCCAACACGGTGAACGCGTTTTCGACACGAGACTAAACAGAAACAAACCACATTGACGACAAACTAACAAAAGCTTTTCACTTGATGTGAAACAAGCACAAGTTAATTATCGAGACGCGCAATCTCTTACCGGAATTCAATAATTCGTGCAGATTTCCAAGTGGAGAACGTGGGAAACACTTTTCTATTTATGTAATCTCATTTTCTAAAACTCGCGCATCGTGCACGTCATAACGTGTCAGTTCAGGCTAAAATAAAACAAAATAGATGTTCACTTTCGGTTCGCATCGATCCTAAATGACGTGCGAAGAGCTTCTATAAGCGATCACACGCGATCTCGCGCAAAATATTTTACGACAATCCACGGTGGTGCGAACGTCTACACGCCGCTATTAGTCGCATCTATTTAAATCTGCGACTGCAGATTCGGGGGTTGCCCCGAGACATCTTGGAAAGTAACACCAGCCAAATATAGAGCCTTGGCTCTGCAGGTCTTCCAGTGAGAGAAAGAACATTGCAACGGGTGCCGGAGGAGGGCATCCTGAAGAGGTCTTCCGCCTTCCTGGCGAGTCTAACATATCATCATCCATCCAGCAAACTCACGGAGAAGAGCTCGCCGGACGACGAGTCGCTTAAGTTCCTCAGGCCATCCGACAGTTACGAGCTTCGTGGTTCCTCATCCTCAAAAGATAACGATCTAAAGGGATATTTCTCGATTCTGACAAACAGTGACGACGCGGAACTATGCGCTTTACGGCCGTCGCATAGTGTTCAAACGTTATCGACGAACCTGAAGAAGAAGGGCGTCGGGGTGAAGAAATCAGTTTCCTTCAGCTCCGACACCAGCTTTGAGGAGAAACGCGCGCCATATCGGAAATCTGCCGTTCACGAGGCCAAGATCTACCGCAAAGGTGTGCTTCAAGGTGAGCTCTATGTTATAACATTTGATTTTGCAAACTTTTTACTCGACAATTAAAACTTTTAACTTAATTTCTATCAAATACAATTTTATTTTGAAATTATTTTGCGTTTGTTTTGAAATTTAAATAATTAAATGAAGATTTGTAAATGTAAAAAAGAGTTAAGGCAATGGTCAAAATTAAAGGAATAAGGAGATCCGAATTAAGAAATCCAAAAATTTAAAAATTTATTTATAGAAATATTGAATTTATAGAATATTGAAGATACTAATTGAAGATATGAAAATTTGTAATTTTTTGCAATGTTTTTTAATAAAATCTAAAATTACCAGCTTTTTAAAACCCAATATTGTCTTTTATGTACATCACAGTGACAAGAGATATTTGGATCATCGTTTTTACGCAAATAACGATTATTTACCAACGATTTTTTATTTGCACGAACTTTTGCATGACATATATCACGTCATTTATTAGTGCTGACAAATTGATTCCGGCGCGTGACATCAGTGATAAAATGCATCAACTGATAAGAACAATGTTTAGATCTCGATAAACGTTTCACATTGAAACCTGAAGACATAATCTCTGATTGATGCGAAAATTTTCGATGAAAATTTATACAACGATAATGTTTTAATGAATTTATCAATAAGCAAATTATGATTTTCTTTTACATGAAATACAAATAATTTAATAACGTAAGAGACATTCTATTCAACATATTGCATAAGCTTTTTAACTTATAATTTATGATCGTGAAATTTGCCAATTTTAAATCGTGATTCGTCATATAAAATTGATATATTATCCAATAATAAACTTACACATTTTATTTATATCTTTGATATATTATATAACTCGTACTATAGCAAATCATTTCAATAAACAATTATTAATATTATTAAACCTTATTTATAATTTGTTGATTAGTTTTGCGATATCTAAAAGGTATTAGGAAGATATTAATATAGAGAAAAAAAAAATCTTACAGACCACGTGCGTAAAGAGACGACCAAAACAAAAGTGCCGCCCTCGTGGGAAATACCCTCCGGGGGCCCTACGGCCCTTCTGAGGGCCGCCAGAGAGGCGGACGACACCGGTCTCAAAGAAATCGTCGCGCAGGCTCGGAAGGTAGGGTTGAAAGGCATGGACGTCAACGTGGTTGACAGTAGCGGAAGGGTGAGTACAAAATTTTCCACTTAATTACATTTAATTTTGTCATTATGCTCTATTGTAAAATTATTTTATAATATTATATCTATCATTTGGTCTCTTAATGCATAGCACATGGTGCAGTGTAATATAAATGAGAAATTTGCATGAATTATAATATTTACGATTGGTTTAATGAATCATGAATTATTCTGTCTTTGCGCGAACGCGAACGCTGTTCGGCCGATCTTGTTTCGAGATTCTTTCAAAACCTCGAAATAGGAATGGTCGTTTAGGCAAAATGGCTCACGCTAAACGAATCCGACGGATTGGAAAGCCGGCGGCGATCCGTAATTAACAGCGCGCGATTTGCGATCGATGAAAGTGCAATTAAGGCCGAGCGAGTCGCGCGCGACGGCAGGAAACAAATTTCGCCTTCGAATGGATCTATTTTTAAATTGCCTGGCTGGGATTCTGGCGATTCGTGGCGCGCGAGTTTCGCGTTTCGTGAGTGTTATGCAAAAATGCACGCAATGGTAAACCCCGGCGGGTCGTTCGACGATTGATTGCAGACGGTCGGCAGTTAACTGGCGTGTAATCTCGAGATGAAGACTTTATTGCTAGTTTCACGCAATTCTGCCTTTTGATCGAGAGTTCGAAAAGATTAAGTTAAAAAGTTATTAATACAAAAGATCTGCCATTTTAAATGTAAATAAGATAGTAAAACGATTTAATATAATATTCATAAGTACAATTTAAAAGAAGAATGATTTCAAATGATTTCAAATGATTTCAAATAAGAATAATAATTAATATTCATTTTATGACTTCCTCTTTGGTCCTCTTTTTCTAAACAGGAAACTTTATGTTAATCTAAATACAAATGTTTCGTGTTGGTTTGCACTGTGATGTGTTCAATCAGATAACTGGCATAGTGGGAAACTTTTCTAATTGCTGACGAAACTCTGTATAATTATACCGAGCTGTTTTTCGACCAACGTGCAGATTAAGCGGCATAGGATCGATCGATGAAACGAATTCGACGAAACGCCAGTCGTCTTAAATATCGACAAAAATTCCATGTTCACATGGCAGTTTCATTAGCGTCTACATGTGATTCCGTCGTTGTATGTAGCCTCATGGAAAAGTACCGAATCGGTATGCAGCTTTGCTCGCGTCTGCATCAAGCCAGGTGTAAAATCGTGGTTCGAGAGAAATATATGATTGGTTGTATTCCGAGAGCAAACGTATGATATATATGATATATATATATATATATGATATTAGGGGAAAAAAAATAAATAGAACTAGAAATATATCCCTTAACAAATATAAATATATATAAAATAATGTTTTTGAATAAAATACACAAGAGACATTTTGGCACGAAATATGAAATGTATGAAATAATAATAAATATACGATTGCTTTTGCATTATTAGACGATATGGTAATTTACAAAATAAAAAATATCTAGACTATATCTATAACTTTAGTATCTCTTTTACGAAAAATAAAAATATATATTTTTTTGTATAATATATATTTGATTGTATTGTATTACACATGACACGTGTTGCTGCATATAACACGACTTGTTGTTTTATTCAAGTTGAATATCACTGTGAATGAACTGACCTTATGAATAAGCTCCGTCATGTAAATGTATCTTCAATACATTTGTATCGCGTAACGTATCTCGTCACAATGGCAGCCACGCCTAACTTTGAAATACATTTCCATCCATCCATTTTCACCCATTCATTTTTGATCATACGTAACTCTCTTGTAATTACGTAGAATTCTTTCTTATTTCAATGTGTATCTCTAATTTCTCGGCGATACGTGCTTAAGAATGTACATTCGAGGATAAGACGGGTTTCTTCAAAGACGACCCAACTAAGTTGGTTTTGTGCTTTGTTCGAATCTCGCAATTCGGTGTCTTCGGACACGCGCCTCTTTTCCAAACTGACCAAACACGCTTCCCTGCATTCCTGGGGGTCAACGCGAAGACACGTAAGCTCTCGATCTCGCACGGTAGCTCGCGATCGCATTCCGTATGCGGCGATGTCGCGCCGCAATTAAAGTCGGATCGCGCGCTGCGTCTCTTCTCCCGCGGCGAGAAATGCGGTCAACCTTCGTCGAGTTGTGACGAACGCTGCATTAAGGTCGGGACGAAAGGAAGCGTGTAGATGTCCGGGTGTAATTGTGACGGATAACCCCCGAGACGTAACGTTGATGTCCTCCAAGGACGTGCACGCGAAGCGAGAAGGACAATCGCGAATTATAATGCGAGAGAAATTGCACTCGCGAATTCCACTTGGTTACACGCGTCATGAACTTAAAGTGACCAGTTATCAGCTCTGTAGTATCAGAAAGATATACGATTTCCTTAAGCGATACGAGACACCGGCTATGATTCAACGAGGTTGTGGATTAAAGAATTCGCTCGAGGTCGGTACGCTATGTAGATACGCGATTTGTAGAAATAATTATAGCATTGGGAATGATATAAATTTTTTATTTTATTTAGTTATATTAATAGAAGAATTATATAAATATTATAATATTTTAAATAGTTCCGCCTAATCTTGAATTATTTAGGCAATCCATAAGCTAAAATTTAGGATAAAATTTTATATATACCTTATAAAAAAATTGTTATAAAAAAATTTTTCAAAACATATATCCAAAACAAAATATATATATATATATATATATATATATATATATATATATATATATA